TTTCAATAAATAAATAAATATAATAATTAATAATAATGATGCCAAAATTTTCAATTCAAATTCGCAGTCTAGTAGATTTTCAAGACATTAATAGTTAATTAAGATTACTAGTGTTATGTTTAAAAATAACATATAAATCAAAGGAGAACACAGTTCAGGTTACAAGAATGTTACTGCAGACTCTTGTCTATTTCCTGATTTCAGTGGGATCTTTCAAATCCTTGGCACTATGGCTGAAAAATGCCCTTCACAGTTAACAAACAAATTATTTAATCTCTTAAACCACTTGTAGATTCTATATTGAATGCAGCACTTTCAACTCCTTACAAATAATTTGGCTCCTTTTGTATACCAGCTTATTACGAAACATTTATTGTTAGGAACATATTTGAAGGCTATTCTTTGAATAATCACGTAACAAAATGTCTCCCATCACAATTGCATCCATCAGGATTGTTTGAAGATGATATAAAGATTAAAGGTAGATAGAAATCCAATTCATTTAACCTACATCTGATTATAGTCATAGTCAATTCTGATAATGAGTTGAAATTTTAACAACACAACATCCATATCATTGGTTTGGTCAAAGAGAAATGACCTGGGAACAGGTGGAAACAAACATTCACAATATCACTTTAAACAAATCATATAACAATTAATTAATCATATGAAATGCTCTTGTTCTATGGTATACTGCATACGACAAAGAGCGATTAACTCTGCAGAACTGTAATCAATCGCAGTTTTGTCATGGCATGGGCAAAATTTGCCCGCATGTGGCGGATGTCTTCACATGCTCAGCTTTATTAGCTCTCATGTGAAGACATATGGCCGAATTTTGCTAGAAGCTCGCTGCTGGTCCTGTTATCTTCCAGGGTCGGTGGCCAATAATTGGGCTTATGTCATTCTATGAACCTTCTACATCATTCACTGTTGAAAAAGTCGATGTAGTTCATGGTCCTGGTTATACATCGTTACCTGCTCATTGCTATGCAGGTATCATTGTATATCATAGAATATCATTGTATATCATTGAATATTGTTGCATATCATTGAATATAGTTGTATATCATTGAATATCGTCGTATCATTGAATATCATTGAATATTGTTGTATCATTGGATACCATTGAATATCATTGAATACCATTGCATATCATTGAATATCGTTGAATATCGTTGCAAATCATTGAATATTGTTGTATCATTTGATACCATTGAATATCATTGAATATTGTTGCATATCATTGAATATCGTTGAATATCATTGCAAATCATTGAATATCATTGAATATTGTTGTATCATTGGATACCACTGAATATCATTGAATATTGTTGCATATCATTGAATATCCTTGAATACCATTGAACTATCATTGTACCCATTTAGTGGCAGTTATTCAATATACACTTTGTGTATATCATTGCATTGATACCTTATGTACATCATTGTATTGATACCTTGAGTACATCATTGTATTGATAATTCATTTTGACTATTGATCAATAAAGCCATGACAAAAACTGCCAATCATTGTTAATCTATTTTGTCGACATAATCAGACTTAACTCAATATGAGTTAAGTCATGTTATGGAGACAAATAGAGATATGGTCCAGGAAAGATAACTCTCATGCAAATGTATATAACTGCTTAGCCACATCCATTACGCATGTGCATTTTACTCTTCCTTTTCCATCTCTGTCATCCATTGAAGCTCAGCATCCCACCCACCCTCCCCATTCACCAGATTTTAATAAGTTGTTATTTTATTTTGACAAAGTTGTTGCTGCTGTCTTTGATTTCTTTTTTCAGTCGTCATCCATTCCCTTGGCTACTAACAGAAGAATGCATTACATCATTTCCCTTGACTACCAGCAGACTCCATTACATTTCCTCTTGGCTACCAAAAGAAGAATCCATTACATTTGATTCCTTGGCTACCAGCAGATGAATCCGTTACATCCGTTCCACTTGGCTACCAGCAGAAGAATCCGTTACATTCGATTCCTTGGCTACCAGCAAAAGAATCCATAAGCGTCATGGCTTTTCTTATGTATCATTTAACTGTGGTGTTTCTGGACTTTTTTCAGACTGTGAACCGAATTTTGCTAGAAGCTCGCTGCTGATCCTGTTATCTTCCAGGGTCGGTGGCCAATAATTGGGCTTATGTCATTCTATGAACCTTCTACATCATTCACTGTTGAAAAAGTCGATGTAGTTCATGGTCCTAGTAATACATCGTTACCTGCTCATTGCTATGCAGGTATCATTGTATATCATAGAATATCATTGTATATCATTGAATATTGTTGCATATCATTGAATATAGTTGTATATCATTGAATATTGTCGTATCATTGAATATTGTTGTATCATTGGATACCATTGAATATCATTGAATACCATTGCATATCATTGAATATCGTTGAATATCGTTGCAAATCATTGAATATTGTTGTATCATTTGATACCATTGAATATCATTGAATATTGTTGCATATCATTGAATATCGTTGAATATCATTGCAAATCATTGAATATCATTGAAGGAATCCACTACATTGAATTTCATCACGACAGCGTCCAAACCCGCATGCCCTGAAGAGTAAAGGGGTTTTCGGGATAAACAGAAAGTTAGTTTTTTCACATTAACAATATTTGCCAGATCTTTGACCTTTTGATTTGTTTTTATTTCCAAAATTGAAAAAGACACCTTTCAGAAGGAAAAAACAAGTCCAGGAAATCATTGAATCTGCCATTTTCCAGTATACTAAGGGTCATACCCAAAAATGAGTTTTAAAAACAACCAAAAATTGGATAAAAAATGTTACGGACATGTGTTTGAATTAAAAGAGATTAATAAGTAAAATCATGAAGACTAAATCATTGAAAAGCGTCGTTTGCTTCTTTCTGAGCACCGAGGACATTATTTATCGAACAGCCCTCGTATACACTGAATTGACGACGAATTTTTCCTTTATTTCACGATTATGACAAGGAGCACACAGCGGGTGTGACCGGTCGGCAGGGGATCACTCTTCCATAGCACCTGATCCCACCTCTGATGTTTTGGAGGACCGTTATTGCTCTGCCCCTATTTTGTATTGTTTTACGGACTTAAGTCTTCAATGCTGTTCGTCATCTCCATATGTTTCACTCTGATTAATTTTTCAGTAAATTGTAAGTTGATAGAAGCTTTTAGGGAGAAGTCTGAAATGAACTCTGATTAATTTAAGTTTTCAGTAAACAGTTGATGGACGCTTTGAGGGAGAAATCTGAAATGATCTCTCATGTTCAACACACCCGTGTCTTCTGATGCTATGAAATATTTCCGTATCATAAATTGTGTCTCTTTGCTTGCAACAGCATCTATCGTTTGCTAAAACATGGCGTTGAAAACTAGCCATAAGAATATGTCAAACGGGGTCTTTTTCTATTACTTGATTAAATTTCAAATCAGGGAAAGAAGTGGGTATTATAAAATCGTCATATTTTAAGTGTTTTAAAGTTAAAATTAATATGGTAACATGATGATATTTAAGTACATTCTTTTTTTTTTTGCATCAAAGTTGCAAATATCCCTCCTTCCCCGTTGATTTGCAGAGAAAGAAAAATTAAGCCTGATTAGAAAGGGATATTTTGTAAAGCAGACAATAAAATAAACCTGCACAAACTTTAAAGTTTTTTTGCATAACATATGAGTTTCTTATTTTCTTTAAAAAACAAATATATCAAAGAAATTTACAGAAGTTAGTTTTGAACCAAAATGTTGAGGCGACCAGAACCCGTTGAACTCCATGACAAGATTCTGTTTTGTTCTTAATTTATGTTAAGGCTTATACGATATGTCAAAATGTACATGTACATTCTTTTAAATGAGATATCATATGTCAGTTCCTCCAAAATATATGGCCATGTTTTGACGAGAAGGACAAGCTGAAATGAGTTTGGAACAAAATGACACTTCTACGGAACACGACTATTTTTTCCTTAGTATGTTTATATGTGTTAATGAAGGAGTTTGCACTGTTAAGTTGCCAACATCGTTGAACATGTAATCCCTTATTTCTGTGCATCGCAAATTTCACTAAATTTAGATTTGTTGATGCTATTTTCAAAAGTAACAAATATTCTTGTTATCGAATGGAAACTACAATGAACATTTTCAACGTAGTTGCATTATATCTAAAACAAAATGAATATTTTGCATGAAATATGGAGATAACGAATAGTTATCTATAGGTTGAAAGTCCATTGAATATATACAAAGCGGGAACAGAAATAAGTCGGAACTCTAAAACAGGTGGGATCAGGTGCCATGGAGAAGTAAGCATCTCATGTCTACTGGTCACATCCGCCGTTTGTACCTTGTCATGATCGGGCAAAAATATGTAGACAACTCTGTGTGTAAATAGCAGGCCAACGATTAGTATGAAAAACGCCAGTTAACGTTTGATTTTATGATAGATTGTCTTTGCTGACAGTCATTGTATCAATAATAGAACCTAAGAAATGATGACTTCATATGAGACTGTTGATATCCTTTTTTCCATCAACTTTGTCAATATCTTGCTTTGTTTTGGAAATTGTTCGTATGCAGAGCATGCTTCTGCTTATCGAATCAAATTGGGAGACATAAACTGGATATTCATTAGCTAAGGGTACTAGTTTATTGCTACACAAATAAGGGACGTTGAAAAGTTGTTCGAAGTCATTATTCATATCACAAAGTCTTGTCTTTAGGTAACCATTAACGAATTTTTGAAGCAAAATGTTTTGAATTGAAGCTTTCTTTATTTTATGTTTGATTTAACAGTTTATTAATTAAGCTTTTTCTTATGTTTTAGAGATCCCTGATGGCCCTGGTCCTGATTTATTTTGTTTGAATGAACTTTTAGGCTTGAATACTGTTTCGTTTTCTCCATACATTTCATTACATGTCATACTCCCTGTTCGAGCCTGATCTTATTTAGAAGCCATGATATTTAAAACAAATTTTAATCTGCACTACCACTTATTTATATAGATATATTTTTGTAAAATGATCGTACAAATTCCAAACATAAACATAAACTTGTTTGATTTTATTTCAACATTAAAGTAAAATAAATATGCCCGTATATCAAAAATAGTCAGAACTGTTACAACTCTTCTTCGCTTGAGATAACATTTCTGTCACACAAGAATAAAGCTAAGGATGCAATTCAATCTAACAAAAAATAATATATTTTATACTTTTAAAATACAATTTATCCATCACTGACTAATAATAAAAAAAGCATCAAAGGCAAATTCGTTTTATGAAAAATATTTCTGCGAATGATTTGTATTGTTATAATAGAGTTTTGAGCTTGAATATTGTTTGTTAATTGTGGAGTCGGAATTGAAATATATCTTTTCCCCTTTTAGTATTTTGTGCCAAAAACTTCACCTCTTTAATGATCTTTCTTTTTGGAATTTTAATTACAATTAAAAAAAAAAGTGATTCACAATAAATGAAAAACAAAAAAATAAATTACTAAACATGGAATTCTGCAGATGCACTAAGCATGAAAGTGTATTGATATTAAAAAAAGGAAATGATATAATACAATGATATTCCGACCTTTTCCTTGTTTATGACAATTGAAAGATAATTAGGAATTAATCAATTCATTCGTGATTCTGCTATTGCGCATAAAGATTAATTTCACAGACCGTGTTTGCATTATTTTGAAAGATACATAATACGATCAGTGCATCGCCCATGCAAATTCATGTAATTAGACAAATCCATGTTTTGCAATGATTATAAAAAGAAACCAATCAAAGATTAAAACATGAAAGAAAAACATGTACATATATACTGCTGTGTATTTATTCACCCCCAACATTTTGATATAAACAATTTAAAAAAAAAATGCACCCAAAAATATTTTGACAATGAATAAATAATAAAAGTTGTAATAAACAATTAGTCAGAGGTGCGATTACAGACAGAAAATGCTTTATAATTGCTGGACGATTTCACAGAAGTATAACAATGTCAGAAGAAATATACACCACACCTTCAATATTTTCATATTGCTGCAATTATGCATACATACAATGGTACCGTAGTGTAGCCAAATATCACACTGTGAATTACTAATGCGTCTGTACATGGTACATACTTCTATTAGATCACATCCTGCAGTAATTAACAAGGCTTTTGCTGGAAGATCGTGATCTGAACAGGAAAAAAGAATCTGAAAAACGAGAAATTACAATTAAATATGAGATTCTTGGAACAATATGCTCTTTCATTATTATTTGCTTACTCGGTAATGCACATTATCTGTAATGATATTTTTTTTCATTTGTTTTTTATTTTTGCTTTTTGTCATGGACATTATCTTTAATGATTTTGTTGGCAATCTAAGCTTTAAAAAGTAATGTATTTAATAAATTATACTATTAATCCCCTTCGTAACATGACAAATAAATCTGCAATTAGGAACGTGATGATTCTCGCCCTTTTCATCCAAATACTGCCATTATTAATTCTATTAATAAAATTCTAGAAAGTTTTACGGAAAATATCAAGCTCTTCATGAACTTGCAGAAAGGTTAGTCACGAAACGTTTGTCTTAATCAATATTTACAAGGTGAAATAGAGCTATTAAAAGCGTAATGAAAAATAAAATGTTTACCTTTAATTGCCTCTAGTTCAAAGTGTATGTCACCAAATCGGGTTGAAATCTCGAATACAAAAGTATCTTTGAAACCAATTGATAGTCTCCTTATGTTGAAAATATTGGCACATTTTTATTATAAAGATGTCCTTTTTGTTTCGAACGATGCTGAAATAGTGAAACATATATTTGTAAAACAAATAACATTTTCCCTAAAGCAAATACAAAAATGATTATAATGTGTTATTTTTTTTTTGAATTACATAGAAAAGGCAGAAAATTGAAAATATATTACATTTTACAAAATGAATTAACACTTTATCATATAGTCATTATCAAATGCATTTTAATTATCTTATTTGCTCCATTTCAAATGTTACTAGATTATGTACTCCCTATGTTTTATTTTGCTGCTTTAACAAAATCATCATTAGAATGGAGAGTCATTCCAACAGAACCATGAAAACCTCAAAGATATGTTAATTAGAATTAAATGAAATATGAATTAAAAGACATGCAGAGGAATACAAAATCTAGTCGTGGCGTTTATGGTAATGTAATTTTAAGTCTAGAATTAATGCTTAAATCATACATATGGCTTTATAATTGCAATTAATTTACTTTTCTTTTCAATTAGAAGTTTATTTAAGGTTCATAATGAGGGCTGCTTAATGTATCTTATACACCTGTCATTCTTAATATATATCATTGTGTTGCAACACGTTTTTTAATATTATTATTTTTTCATGATGAAAAATGATTTCTTTTTTTGAGTCTTGAAAAATAAGTATACATCCTTTAATAAAAGTTATAAGCACTATCAATGAATGCACATTTAGGAGATATAATGAACATTGGAAATGCATGAAAATGCAGGGGGGGGGGGGATTATATACCACGGTATGTGAAAAGTAAACACATTTTAGATTAATTCACCCCCACTTTAAAGAGTGGAGGTGTGTGGATGGTTGGAGGGCAGTTAGTACATTTAGGTAGTATACCTGTAATATATGCACAGTGAATAACAGTTCTAATTAAATACACGTCAAGAGTAATTTTTACGAAGCACGTTCTTAATGATACACAATGTTGCACTTTAAGTTCAGCATGGTAAAGGCTTTGCTCATGTATTTGTATTACCCTGTAAGCATATCAAATCCTATCTTTTGCTTCAAAGTCATCATTTCGTACGTCCTATGGTCAATACAATGACTTTGTCAGCAAATATATTTTATCACTGAGTCAAATGCTGACTGTCGTTTTTCATAATAATTGATTGTTCATTATTTATACACAGAATTGACGACGGATTTTCCGATCACGACAAGCAGCACGAGGGGGGTGTGACCGGTCGGTAGGGAATGCTCACTCCTCCAATGCACCTGCTCCCACCTCTGAAGTACTGGAGGTCCATGTCTGCTCTGCTCCTATTTTGTATTGTTTTATGGACTTTCGATTTTGAGTACTGTTCGTTTTCTCCATGTCTTTCACTCTGTTGCACGACCATATTTTGATTTTCTATCCATTGCTTATCTCTTTTATTTACGAATACATTATTACTTTTTTCCACTCACAAAATTACACAAACATTTCCCGTTACGCCCTTTTTCTCTCGCCCATCCTCCTGTCCCTCTCTTTTGATCATGTTGTTATATATTAATAGACGAATTTGTCTAAATAAAGAATCTATAGACTCCAAGGAAAATTAACATTGGAGGCAATTTTACAGTACCTCTAAGGTTTTGGTCTTAAATACGAGTCTAAACTTTCGATATAAGCTTCGGGTTAAACACAATTAGCCTATTCTATAGTAAATATAAATAAATAAGTATGTTAGTAGTTTTTGATAACTTTATCAATAGTTAAAATTTAGTTGCCCGATATTTCTCATATATTCGTGGGTGCGTCCTTTGTGCATTGTTTAATTTTCTGCATCAGAAATTTACTGCTTAGAAATAATTTTGGAGGGTTTTTCTCGGTTATTTGATATTTTATTTATATTAAGTTTCGATAAAACAGACATTTTCGCATTTAGCAAACTTGGCAAATGTCATTTTCAAATTTAGTTTGATAAATGACCAAACAGATGTGTGATTACGCCCTTTGTTACAAGAATAAGTTTTCTGCTTTAAATAACATTATTGGATTTTACATCAGTAAATAATGGCAATCCTTAAAGAGTCAACACGTGTACATTATTTTATTTTACCGGTAGTAGGCTAAAGTATAAGTCACATTATCCAACGATGTGGTTTACGATGAGAAACCGATGCGTTTTTTGATGAAAATGGTGTGGTTGCCGGCCGGGCACCACTGGTGATCGGACGGTGACTGAGTCTTTTCTGCGAATCGGTGGGGTCATCGGTAGGGAATAATTCGTAGTTAAAATTCAGCGATGTCTCCAACGATGCCTCACATCGCTCCCATCGGCAACCCATCATTAACACATCTTTCAAGGATCGGCCGATGTATGGCCGAGCATCGTCCAATATCCGTTGAATCTGAGGTCATCGGGGAGTTTAGTGGTGTTCCACAGATAACGACCGATCATCGGTCGATGTTCGACCAAACATTGGCCCGAAGTCGACCGATGTACGAACAATGTTCACCAATGTATGAGCGATGTAATATACATCGGCCGATTATCCTGGAACATCGTTTTATGATAAGCAATGCATCGCTGGGCCTTTGTAAGTCCGGCCGGCAGCCACGCCATTTTTATCATAAAACGCATTGGTTGTCCATCGTATACCCATCGCTGGATAATGTGACTTATACTTTAAGGACTACTTGGCCGATGTGGTCCGATGTTGGAGCATCGTTAACACCACGGATTACTACCGATTACCACCGGTCTACGGCAACCGGCCGGGAAATGTGACCTAGGCATAAGCAACAAAAAATTAATCGATTTGTTAAGTTCATGACTTGCATTGTTTAAGGATAAATAATATTTTAAATCGTATCATAAGATTTGAACCAAATACATGCCAAACATATGTATAATTTGTGCTTCCATTTAATCATTAACCTAAATTTGCCTTGAAATGAAATAATGAAGCAAACCACGCAGAAATAACTATTTTAACACATTTCAGCTTAAACTTTAGGCAAATTATTTCAAATATAATTTTTATGGTACATTCTTGGAATGACAGAAAAGATACATTTTATATACATTTATTAGAGCAGAAATCGTACGAACTGGTACCATTTCATTTGTGTGGTGAGGCAGATTTTGTTGTATTACCAAAGAAATTGTTTCTAAGGACGACCACAGAAAACATTCATGGTTATATTTAAGCTGAAACTAGGTAGACTACCGGTAATAGGCTAGAGATATGTCCACTTTATGTAAAGAAGACATCTGCCTATTGAGTCCTTGCTCTGTAGTTGTGTAAGATACTTTCCCCCCAAAATTGTCAGTCAATTAAAATGTCTGGCATGCATTAATTGTCTTTAATTAAGTGAATTCGCCAGATGGATCATTAGCATTGATTTTTTGGGGCTGTTGTATACTGTTTATGGGTATTGTTTACAGACTTTACTAAAGAATACTTCAAATTACTTCATTCATAATATTTTACAGCAATTTTGTTTCAATAAGATAATTCTTTTTTGTCATGCGCAACAAATTTTCATATTCAAATGAGTAACATTTTTCTTCAACTTCTATGATAAAAATCATTAAAATGTCTATAAGAGTTTAAAACTTGAATTATGACAATACTTACAGGCCGTTAATTTTCGCTTTTGCCGTTGTAGGTCTGGCAAATGTGTGTCTTTTACTGGAAGGCCTAATGACCGTGGGTCTAATAGTTGAAGAGGTCCTTTGATGAAGAAAGTGCTGTGTAAGGTTTGAAATACCCCGGAAAATGGGCGGTTCTGGAAGAACAATGCAAGAAATTTAGAATTGAAATAATATGTGATTATGTCTTAAATTTTTAGCGCAAACAACTTACCTTATTAATCTCTACAAATTCCATTGTAGTTAGTTTCAATTTTATTTATGGTTTTAGGCTCAACTTGTGACGGTTGTAAAAGAGAAATTTATGATCTTCATCCCCCACCCCACCCCTCCCCCAAATAACAAGCGTAAATGACAGCTTCACGAGTTCTTTTAAAACAAGATATACAATTACAGTATTAAAAAGATCAAACTAAGCTTTTAACAGGTTTTTAGCATTCTTTTAAAATACGCGAGTAATCTTTTAATCTAAATAAATAAAGAAAAATGGTTAGGTTGCAATGAAAAAGGTAAAGATTAAGAATATTGATCGATCTCATAAAATTTATGAATAATACAGGACATAACACGGACCCTTGCAAATTCCAGAGGTTTGATGGATACAAATAAGATATCAAAGCTGAACAATGCATGGCCCATATAGCACTTGAATTCACTTGTGTTTAATGTTTATTGTTTAATGAACTTTTGAGCCTGAAAACTGTTTGTAATCTCCAATATATTTCATTCCGACGATTTAAGAGGCTGCACTGCTCCCGATTTATATTGTTAAGAACAGTGGTATTTCATTTTTAATTACCGATTGCTATATCCATATTTCGTAATATTAGCATGTAATAAAATATTACAAGGATATACAACTTCATAGAAAATAGTTAAGAGAAAATTAATTAAAAAATCCATTCAAACGATACGATTTGGGAGCACAGAGAGAATACACCGACCTCCAAAACATTGAAGGTGGGATCAAGTACCATGGAGGATTTTGTAACTCATGCCGACTAGTCAAAACCGCCTAGTGTTCTTTTTCATGATCGGTGAAAATCTGTAGACAATACACTTTAAATAATGGCCTAACAATTTGTTTGAAAAAACTTTTGACTTATGTATAGGTTATAATTGCTGCCAATGTCATTGTGTCGATCAAAGAACCTACAATATGGTGACTTTAATCGAAACTGTTGATATTTAAAGTTCTTCAACTTGTTTGTCAATAGCAAGGTAAAAAGCTACAAAACTACTTCTGTATATTTCTCCTGATGATGCAGTCTACTTGTTAAAAGTGATTTACATGTATTTTTTCTATTCGTAGAAATAAATTCTATATATTTCTTGAGTTAATGAAAACTATTTCAAGATTGCTATGTCCTACAATCCAAGGACGTTTCTTCCCCCCAAAATTGTATGCAGTTACCTAAATTTTGGACCACATATCATTCATAATGCTGCATTTGCAAGCAACACCGACTCTTCTTTAAACTGGCCTTACTTTCGCCAGAATCATCTTGATTTTGATTTATCGTAGGAACGACTAAAGTCTATGGCAGTCTCTTACTTATTTCACAAAACTCTACAATTTCTTGGTAGGTACTAAAACCCAAAGAGAGCACTCCAAGTTAAATAATTACCCTCTATTTAGTGAGTGATGAATGCGACAGACATGTAATGTGAATAAATAATTATGTAATTAAAAGTCGTTTATGGTTTGCTATTTTTATAAGTACATATATCTAACACTGATGCGACTAATGGTACATAGAATTCAGAGCATGTTTAACATGTTGTTCTTGTAGTGTTTTATAATCTACTTGCTTAACAAATTAGGAAGTGTCGACAGGATTTAACAAGACTATGACAAATGCAGTACTTGTATTTATATACTTTCCAGTTCGGTACCGTCTCCGGCTAACCAATGAACGTTGAATGTCATCTAAAAGGTTAATTGCTGCATTGTCAAATGGGAAGTTAGTGCCATTTACCGACTTTGTAACAGTAAAAAGATAGTAATTAGCGCAAGTAAAAGATGAAAGATTAATGCATATTTCCTGTGCTGGCATTGTGAATGCATTTGTTGTAAAGACAATGTTAATATACTAACCCGTGATTCAAATTTGATCCAAAAGCCATTGTATACAATTTATGCTGTATTGCATTTATTCAAGTACTTTATTTAATGATGAAAAAATTCCTTTATTTCATATCAATAATCTTCATAATAATCACAATCAATTTGAAACTCCATGGATGCAAATTAACGTCCCCTTATTTGCATACCTATTTTTGTGTTCATATGAAGCAGAATCTGTCTAAATCTTATACGTGAAAAGTAGAAAACTCTTTCTTTTTCCTTCAACTCGACATTTAGATATATCGACAACGTATTGTCAATTAACAATGGTTATTTCCATTTTTATGTCGATACGAAGTCCCAGTGAGTTGGACATAAAGGATACCACGGAGTTTGACACACCTGATTCATATATGGATATTTTTCTTTAACAGAAGTTTCTGTCGAGACTGTAGCTCTACTGGTTCATGCTTATGACAAAGGAAGAGAAAAGTACCAGTAAGGGTTTTAAACTTTAAAACAGCAATAAATAGAATAATGATCCTTGATTTAGTCACTTTTTGTAATATTGCAATAAGACTACAACTGTAGGAGTAGCTCTTGATAAAACTTTGTAAAATTTTCAATTTAAGTAACCATGGCAACATCATTTATCAAAATTATTTCATAAAAAGAACCATTAAAGACAACAAGGTATCTTAGTGTAGTCTATCTGCATGCCACATTATTTTATAATCAAACTAAAACTGTATTTGTAATAGCATTTTAAAATCATTTTACAGAAATTTATATTTTTAGTTACCATGACAGCACCGTTCAATGAAATCAAAAATCTTTATACAGAATTATGTATCTTAGTGTAATCTACTTGTATATCAAGTTATATTGAAATCAGACCAAAACTGTAGGATAAGTAGCATTTTGAAATCATTTCACAGAAATTTCTATTTTTAGTAATCACAGCAACAATGTTCATCGAAATTAAAAACCGATGCGAAAAATTATGTATCTTAGTGTAGTCTATTGGTGTGTCAGGTTCTAATGAAATCAGACAAAAACTGTTGAAAAAGTAGCATTTTGAAAGTATTTCACAGAAATTTCTGTCTTTAGTTAGCATGACAAAATCGTTCATCGAAATCAGCAACCGGTAAACAGATCTAGAAATATGTATCTTAGTATAGTCTACTTTGCCACATTATATTGAAATCAGACCAAAACTGTAGAAGTAGCATTTTGAAAGTATTTCATAGAGATTTTTATTTTAAGTAACTATGGCAACATCGTTCATCGAAATCAAAAATAGATGCACAGAATGATGTATCTTAGTATAGTCTACTGGTGTGCCAAGTTATATTGAAATCAGACCAAAACTGTAGGAGGAGTCGCATTTTGAAAAATTGTTTACAGACAGACGAACGGACGACGGGCGCATTACTATCGCATAAGCTCTTCTAGTCTCTGACCAGTAGAGCTAATAAAACGTTAATGGTAACCAACAACCAAGCTCTATGATAAATCTGATGTCTTCAACTTTTATATTGTCATTTTTTTTTTACTTATGCAGCAGTATACTTTAATCACCTGCATAAGGGGACTAATATTTCTCAGTTGATTCGATAAGCAAGAGCATGCCCTACGTACATATGTACACTTTATAAAACGAGGTAAATTTCTGACAGACAAGCTGCTGAAACAAGGCTTTCAGCAGACTCGTTTAAAGTAATCATTTCGTAAGTTATATGATCGATACAATAACCTTGTCAGCAAATACAATTTATTATTGAGTCAAATGCTGACTGACGTTTTTCATACCTCTCGTTAGTCCATTATTTATACACTGAATTGACGACGGATTTTCCCGTTATTTTCCGATCATGACAAGGAGCACACGGCGGATGTGACCGGTCGACAGGAATGATCACTCCTCTATGGCACCTGATCGCACCTCTGGTGTTTTGGAGGTCCGTGTTTGTTCTGCTCGACTTTTGTATTGTTATGTTTATTTAAACTCAATGATGAAAGGTTGATTCTCTATAAGGCCATTTTCCGGCCTACGATAAAATCACTTTAAAATGTGATTTTATGTCACTATAATCATTCTATTTAATGATTTTGATGTTTGTTTTTCAACATCGATCACTTAAGTCACGTGATTCAGAGATTTAAAATGGCTGTCAGTTTAAGAAAAATTGAGGGTAGGTCTATTCACATCAAGTTTCTATAGATCTTTCTGAATGCAAATAATCAAAAATTGTTTATTTATGTCGGGAACACGTCAGACCTAAGTAATACATTCGAAGTTCTTTTTAATTTCAAGCTCTCGATATTGTTTATGACAAGAATTTTGATGAATCCAAATTTTGCGTATTTTGAATGTAAATCTTTACAAAATGCACACCGTATGATGCTGAAAAAGGGTTTAATTAGCAATTAATGAAAAACATTATATCATACATGATAATATTGTAATTGTACATTATTTCTATAGATGTGGTACCTATTTTGCGCATAAAATGGCCATGTAAGAAAAAAGTTTTCTAAGTTTCTATTGGACTATAAAAGTTATGTATTAAATGTTGAAAGCACTGAGTGGATTTTGATTGCGATTAGATAAAACTGAAGTGATAATTAAAAGAATAAATTCGATACTTGCAACAAATAAAACAAGAGGCCCATGGGCCACATCGCTCACCTGAGAAGCTTTGACCATTCTGTTCTTTACCAGATTTCCTCCTTGTAATACATAATACATCCCCCCTACCCCACTGATCATAATTTAGACATTTTGAAATCTACACTACCCAAGGATCCTTCCATGTGTACATAAGTTTCAGCTTTTCTGGCCCAGTGGTTCTTGAGAAGAAGATTTTCAAAGATTTTTCCTATATATTTCTATGTAAAACTTTGATTCCCCATTGTGGCCCCGCCCTTCCCCCGGGGGTCATGATTTGAACAATTTAGAATCTACACTACCCCAGGACACTTCCACATAAGTTTCAGCTTTTCTGGCCCAGTGGTTCTTGAGAAGAAGATTTTCAAAGATTTTTCCTATATATTTCTAGGTAAAAC